GCAGTAGAGGCATTACATGTGTGCTGAGTGTGAAGAGGACCAGAGACACGCAGTAGAGGCATTACAGAATAGTAATAAGTAACACACTTAAGTCCTCACTGAAAGGGTAGAGAGTGGAGCATGTGTGTTGATCTGTGAGAAAGGAAGGGCGGGGAAATGGGGAAAGAACAATGAGCAGAGAACACAAAAATATAGTAAAGGGATGTAAGCTGACATGTCTGACTCACAGGGCGACTCCTGTCCTAACTGATGTGCCGGGCGGCACCAAATAGGGTAGATAAATAGCCACTAAAGGGGAGCCTGAACAAAAGGCAATGACAGAAAATGCAGGAGAGCAAAAAGATTAGCCCGGATAAAAGCAAAGGAAAGCTGACATAGTAATGCTAGTAACAAAAATGAGATTTAGGGCAGTTAGACTCTCAGGAACTAGGTGGAAATCCAAACTTTTAAGCCAGTAATAATGTCCAAAATGCACACAGCAAGCCTTGGCATTCAATACTGCTGTCATGGACATTGACACCTGTCTATCAAACAGGAAATGGTACCATTTTCAGCACACACAGAACATACACAAAGCAATGAAATAGATACTTTGTGAGTGGTATTTGGAAGTCTGTAGCCATTTTTCTGTGTCGTTACCTAGGGTGTAGCTGAAATATGACTGAGGTGGTACTGCACTTAATATGACAACGTTGTTGCATTACTCATGTGAGGTGGATAACAAATATAATCTGTAGACCTCAAAAAGAAGAAATTGCTACCTTGAGAGAATAAAATAAAAAAAATCAAAATCAAAACCTTAATTATTGAAAACCAGAAAAACTGACTGTAACTTATGGAAAAACTAAGAAACTAGTTAGCAGTGTGACAACATGTCTGTTTAACAAAACAACAGTGGTGGAGGACACACACACACATGCCCTGTGAGCCAATAACCTCCCAAACCATGGGGGTTGGTTTGGTTTTGTTTCTCTTGATTTTTGGCCAGGTTTACAGTAACAGGCAATTCCCTCCTACGGAGCCAACCTCAAATCCAAATCAGAGAAGAGCTGGTTAGCCCCATAACAGTTATAATTGGTTCCCCTGTAACAGTGGTAGTTGGTTTCCCCTGTAACAGTGGTAGTTGGTTTCCCCTGTAACAGTTGTAATTGGTTTCCCCTGTAACAGTGGTAGTTGGTTTCCCCTCTAACAGTCACAGTTGGTTACCTCTGTAGCAGTCATAGTTGGTTACCCCGTAACAGTCATACCACTATTTCATTCATAGGTGATTCATTCAACAGTGACCTGGCAGGTCACTGTTCTAGCATGCAGGGTTCTCTGATAAATGGGACAGTTGATGACTCTTACCTCCAGTAGGTACTTTTCAGAACTATGAAAACAAGGGATGACGGAGGAAGTTTGGAGGTCAGTGCCAATTTAATCTCTGTATGCTACAGAGAAATATGGTGAATCTTCAGCAATCAGCTAGTTATGGTGGGCAAGCAAGGACAGTGACCTATGTTGGGAAAAAACCCACACATTCAAAACAAGTAAATTTGTCCATGTAATGCAGGTATGGTGCAATATAAAAAAATTACTGCTATAACTTACTGTGTCAAACTGAATCAGAGAAGTCAGCAGCTTCATAGATGTACAAAACTTTTATTTATCATTAATTTATCATGGTTATCGTACCAGGAGTTTAAAACCAGTTTTCAACCTGATAAAGGATGTGTAACAATCTTCAAAGGAAAAACTTTTAAATATCCAGAAACTATAAGCATCCTCATCCAGTCAGGAATCAGAGAGAGGGGTGAACAGGAGCCTTCGCAGCACACAGGACGAACATGAGGATGCCTCACCATTAAGATCATTCACTAGAATAGGGAATAGCACGAAGGAGGAAGAAGTGAGCCCTGTGGATTGGAAGTACCTGTTCCTAACCAGAAAACCCAGGATCATTCACACATGGTCAGCAGCAGAGTCCTCGAGACTAACCCACAGAGCAAGACACAGATCCAGAGCAAGACAGATCCAGAGCAAGACAGATCCAGAGCAAGACACAGATCCAGAGCAAGACACAGAGCCAGAGCAAGACACAGATCCAGAGCAACACAGATCCAGAGCAAGACATAGACCCAGAGCAAGACACAGATCCAGAGCAAGACACAGAGCCAGAGCAAGACACAGAGCCAGAGCAAGACACAGAGCCAGAGCAAGACACAGATCTAGAGCAAGACACAGAGCCAGAGCAAGACACAGAGCCAGAGCAAGACACAGAGCCAGAGCAAGACACAGATCCAGAGCAAGACACAGATCCAGAGCAAGACACAGATCTAGAGCAAGACACAGATCTAGAGCAAGACACAGAGCCAGAGCAAGACACAGAGCCAGAGCAAGACGCAGACTCAGAAGAAATAAAACAGATACTGACCTTTCTGACTCAGGTCAGCTCTCTAGTTCCTAAACTTCAAGTTAATGATGTCATCTCCTATGGTCCCCAACCTCACAGGGCATCAGAACCCACAGGCATCATCAAGCTCTGTGCTAGGCCCACTCCTAAGATTCTGCTTCCTTGTGGAGTGAAGGAGCCTGTGTCTGTGTGGGTGTCATGGATGATGTGAGTGTGAGAGTGTAGCACGCATGTACACAGGAGTGTGCATGAGCTGTGTGTGGAGTGTGTGCATCAGAGTAAGAACGGTATGTAACTGTGCACTGACAGTGTGCATGTGGACAAGTCCCTGTGCATGTGTGAGCATAGTGCACATGTGTCCCCAGGTAATCCTGAGCCCACAGTCACAGACCTCTCATCCGTGTCACGTGTACAAGGGTAAGACTGACATATAGCAGCATACTAAGGATCCCAGTCCCGTCCTGCAGACTGTGGGGTGAGCCCTTGGGAAGCTGGCTGGGGAAGAAGTTTAGTGTTTCCTATCTATCCCAGAGAAGGGGCAGACTGTGCCTGAGCATATACAAGGAATGTGCACATAAGAGGGACTCCGGGAACACAGGGGAGCCTGCTAATCTTCCCTGAGAAGGTAAATGGGGAGGAGTCCAACAGAAGGACAGACAGTGACCCCTATGCTGTCCCTCGAAACCATGTATCTGCACTAGGCATGGTGCTAATGGTACCCACCGCACAGCTGTGAAAGGAAGACCAAGCAGACAAGGCCCATGCAGGTCCTAGGGGAACCCTTGGCACCTGAGACTCAGGAGTCAGGCAAGGCATGTGCCACAGGGAGGTCACCATCTGCTGAAGAACTTTAGCCAGAGCCCAAGTACCAGGTGGGCTCAGCATCTGTCCTCTGAAGCAACTCTGATTGTCTGTTGTCCCAGAAAGCTAAATGTCCATGTCCTGGAGCTCAGAGGAGAAGGAAATCCTGAGTCCAGGCCCAGCCTCACCTAAGAGAGTTGGGATGAATGGCTGCTGGCTCCTCTCCTGTCCCTTGGGTTATGCTGTGATGAGAGGATTGGGTTTTACTGGGTGAACTTTGACCTCTATCCCAGAAGAAGCAACTGAGGTCCCAGGTGTGAAAGGGCCCCAGGAGTCAGAGGTGCCCCTGAGGTAGACTGTGCTGGCAAAGACAAAAGTCACAGACTAGGGAGGGAGAGGTACTGTTGTACCCCACAAATGAGGTCTGACTCCCAAAGGAATGGTCCAGCCTTGTAGCATCCCATCCCTGAAAAGGACATTTTCCCCAGAGGGTCCAACTGAAGCCTACCGTGTGCTCCAGAGGCTGCATGACCATAAACCGAGTGTTCTCCGGCTGGACCCAGTTTTTACACAGAAAGTTTCACATGCTGAGAAACCTTGTTGATCTCAGACAGTCCAGTGTCCAAAACTCCACCTGGGACCTGGGCCAGAGGACACAAAGGCACAAGTCATGGGCCACCTGCTGACAGCTGCTTCCACAGTGTGGGAAGAGGAGGGGGCAGGGCAACCCTTGAGAGCCACGGAGGGCTGCACAGCCAGGTCTCCCCGACAGGTCCTCTCCAGGTGTTAGGCACATACCCAGCATCCCGTACTTTCCAATGATGTCATCACTGTGGATTCAGACGTCCATCGGTGGGTGAGATCTGTTCACACCTCCGATCTGAGCCCACTCTGTCTGTCATAGCCTTCCTCTTTCCCTGGATATACAAGGGCCAGAGACATAAGTGACAGCCTCAAACCAGCCTCAGGTTGCTTCCAGCCAATGTTCCAGCTTTCTCCACCCTTCTCCCCTCCTCCCTGACCTTTGCCCTCCCGGCAGCATCTGGACAGTCCCCAGCCAGAAGCAGCAGTCTCATCATGGTTGCACAGACCCGCTGGCTGCTGCTTCTCTACTTTCTGCTCCAGCCTCAGGGACCCCTAGGGACTGTAGGTACGTACGTCTGTCTGTCCAGGGAGGGTTTCTCTGTGGACTGAGTTGCTGCTGTTTGCAGCAGCAGCTGGGACATCAACAGGAACCCCGTCACGGGCAGCTCCATTTGATGTATGTCCCTGACAAAAGCAAATAGCATCTGGATGCTTGCCACCCTGAGACAGCCAGTTCTTCACAGGGGTGGGATCCTGGGCTGTTGGCTTCCAAAGACTTTTTAGAAGTAGGGTGTTTTCCTGCCCTCTACAGACACAGACACTTGCCCGTGAAGTTAGATCCTGGAAGTCACTCAGTACAGAGCTCTGTGGCAAGGGATCAAACATGTCAAAACAGCCACGGGCACTGTGCTACAGGGCTTGCTCACTGTCTTGACTCTGTGTCCACAGCCACAGTCCCCTCCCACCAAGTTCACACACACACACACACACACACACACACACACACACACACACAAACACACATGCCTCTAAGGCCTCAGGGGAGAAAGCTTGTGACTGTGCATCACAAGTTGCAGTCTTACAGAAAGAGAGGCTGCCATGAATGTCCCCATGTATAGTGACATGAGTGGCTGAGCCATTACTGTCCCCTTCAAAGCCCATGGCACGTAGGGACTGTAGTGTATTCTCCTGCAGAACTGAGTGGCAACAGGAGCAATGGCTCCCTGCTCCCCTGGTCTGGCTTTCCCAAGTTCTCTCCAACGGGGTGGAGGACCTTGGGATCAGGTTTGCTTTGTATCTCCAGGAGGTTGACGAAGTAAATTTGCCTTCTCCTAAGGGCCCACCCCTTACCCAGTCACTCACTGGAGAAGTGTATGTGTCCCCATGGCTGTGGCATATGATCGTTCTCTGCCTGGTGAAGGACATTGACTGGTCCCATTGGACAGTGTCTCCATCCTCTCTTTCTAGGCCCTCTTCCCACTCTCTCTGTCTTCCCACTCTCTCTGTCACTTCTTTCCAAAATGGTTTTATCTGACTTCCACTCTTGCCCTTCCAGAGAACCCTCCTTTGGGGCATGCCAACATCCTCCTGGTGAGCAGAGCCACTTTATCAGCCCCACCTAGACCTAGCTCGTTCCAGTAAGGCCCATATGGGTTTCCCTCCCTTAAATGAGTCTCCTCTGCATAGGGAAACCCTGTCTCAGTTAGCCCTCTTCTTTAATACACTGGCTGCTTTTGGGTCTTCCTTAACTGCCTTCCTCCCTGGCTCTTCTCCTTTCCCATCTCAGTCACACACCTTCCCATCCATTGCTGCCCCTTCCACAGACATCCCGGGCACACAGTTTATGTGACATAGTTGTCGTATGAGGACTTTGAGGGCCTCAGCTTCACCCTTGGTTTCCACCCCTGACTAACTTGAGGTGATTGAAACATCTCCATCTCCATGCTCACCCCTGGGATTCAGACCCCATGTCTACTAGGGTGTCCCAAAGAATCTTCAAATTCAGCACATCCAAACGACTGTGGCTGCCTTCACCAAAGCTTTGCTTTTCCAAAGCCAAGTGGGGAACGCTGGTATCCTAGTTTCTGTCGAGGTCATTGACAGGCAGGGTTGTGTGGTAGAGGCTGCATCTAACACACCTCCAATGTAGGAAATCGAAGAACTCAGAACCCCAGGTGAGGCAGCTGTTGGCCATGGTACCCAGGGATGTTGCTATGTTATCATAAGGTCTGAAGCCCCAGGGCTATGTGACTTGAGATTCTTGGACTGACTCCCTAGACACAGGAAAGTGAACACAGATGGGAAAATAGAGGAAAATTTAAATATTACGTTTGTGCACACATTTTATGAGTACCCAAGGAAGAGATTGCACAATGTGTGACTAACTGTCTCCTTTTGGCATGCTGTCACATCGCAAGCCTCGTGTTCACTGGCCTCATGGGATGCCACCATTTGGCAACTCCTTACTACAGATGTATCATTTCGTGACAGTTTGTATGCCCTCCTAGGGTCTTCCCATTATAAATTCCTAAGCAGGATTTAGTAAAAACGTCAGACCACATGGATATGGTAAATTTTCATCTCATCTAATAAATATATCACCATATACTTCCACATAATATATACCATATACTGGGCCATGTTCTCTGTCACCAACTATCCATGAAAAACACACACAATTTTAAATTCAGCTGAGCCTGGGCTGTGTCATTCTCTGTGACCTTCAGCCTGGAGAATAGGGTAAGCCATTGAAGGAACCAACCAACCTATGCACCTTCCGTTCCTTGAGGTGGACAGGGACTCTGGCTCCCACCAGAGAGTGGAGTGGGAGAAGATTAATGTGGGTGGGTTGTTCCCATCACTGAGGGAGATGGGAGTTTCCACCACTGAGAGATCTGGTGTGGGTGGTTCTCACGAGCTGACCCAGTGTGGTTTCCTTCCCTCACTGGAATGATCCAGTGTGGGTGTTTCCATTGTTTATGGGACCATCAAGAGTGGGTGGCTTCTGAGCAGCTTGAGGAAAGCTGCCAGGGCATGGGACCTTCTGTCTCTCAGTTTTCGTAACCCAGGAAGAAGCACATGATGTCCTACACAGGCAAAGGCGTGCCAACTGGCTCCTGGAGGAACTTTGGCCCGGCTCCCTGGAGAGGGAGTGCAACGAAGAACAGTGCTCCTTTGAGGAGGCCCGAGAGGTCTTCAAGAGCCCCGAGAGGACCGTGAGTGACACCCCACCCCATGCCTGCTCATGGGTAGTACTCTGAGACTGGAAAGAAGTAAGCTGGGGGTTGTGAGGGCTACACCCATGTCTCTGAATCTGTCTCCCCATTACTGTGGAGAGTGCCAATCAGTACTCAGAGGCACAGGAACCCTGACATACACAGGTTTCTACTCTCAACCATGCCACAAGCAGTTTTACAAGAAATACAACTCCTAAACTACACTGTCTGTGTCTCCTATTCCCAAAGGGAAATCCTTATTCCCTAAGGGGCTGCCCATGTAGTTAACCTGAGAAGGAAAATTCACCTCAAGGGGGCAGGATACACACACACACACACACACACACACAGTCCTCATCGGACACATGTGAGGAACACTGTGGCTTCCTCAGCCACACATCTTGGCCATATGCACAGATTTGTCTCCACTCCTGAGTTACCATTTTTATCTGTTTATTTCTTTTAGTTTTTTGAGACAGGGTCTTGCTATGTAACCCAGGCTGACCTCCAATTGTCCATCTTCATCTGCCTCCCAGTTGCTGGAATTACAAGTATGTGCTACCCTGCCTGGCCCTGTGATTTCATTTTTTAAAAGATACATATTTATATATCACTGAGCATGTTCCTGTCTGGATGGACATCTCCCTCTGGAGGTTTTTCCCAGAGGAAGGGTGTGTCAAGATAGGACAAGGCTTTGAGACAGGGTCCACTGTGTTTACTTTTGCCATCATCTCTGAAAAAAATAGTCAGTCACAGCTCTGGGGCCATTTGTAAAGCTCCAGGGGCATTTGTGAGGCTCCGGGGCAGTTGTGAGGGGCTGGTTGTTAGTTCTCCAAGGGATTTTCTTCCATCCTGTTTTGGCTCATATCACACCTCACACTCACAGGAGACCCACCTCACACTCACAGGAGGCCCACCTCACACTCACAGGAGGATCACCTCACACTCACAGGAAGCTCACTTCACACTCACAGGAGGCCTACCTCACACTCACAGGAGGCTCACCTCACACTCACAGAACACCTCTCTCTCACACAAGAGACCTCACACTCACAGATGAAGTTCACATATACTGGAGAATTTACACCCTCAGAACACCTCACACAGGAACCCTCATTTCCACAGGATATCTCACAAACCCAAAGGAAATTACTTAGCAGACCTCACATTCACAACACACCTCCCTTACAGGTATCCTCACACTCAGAGCACATAGGGAGCTGGAAGAAGCTACTTTCCTCACTGACTGATGTGACCAAATACCTGACAAGAAGTAACTGAGGGAAAGACAGGTTTACTCTGGTTGGTAGTTCAGGTGTCAGGGAAGGCATGATGGCAGCTAGTCACAGGGCATCCAATCAGGAAGCAGAGAGTGATGGAGGCTGGTGCTCAGGTCACTGTTGCCTTTTTATTCAGACCAGAACCCCCATGGGATGACACCTCCCACATTTTGAGGTTCAGGCCAGAGCTAGAGAAAGCAGGATCAGGGTCAGAACTCAGGTGCTCTCACTTGGGAGAGGCAACTATGTTGTGACTTACATGTCCCTGGAAAGGGCTAGAGAAACATCAACCTCAGATGTTGATCAACCTCCTTGTCTCCAGAGGAACACTGTCTTCCCAAGCCCCTCACAGATGCCCAGGTCAGGAGCCCCACCCATAGCTCCTGGGCTCCCTCCGTGGACAGCTACTTCTCATGAACATGGTTTCTTCTTCCCTCTCAGAAGCAGTTCTGGACTGTTTACAGTGGTGAGTAGATGAAAGCCATCTGTGCCCCTCCCCACACACCCCTTCTTTACAACGCACTAACGTCAGCTCACCCACAGATGGGGATCAGTGTGCCTCGAACCCATGTCAGAACGGGGGTACCTGCCAGGATCATCTCAAGTCTTACGTCTGCTTCTGCCTCCTAGACTTCGAGGGTCGGAACTGCGAGAAAAGTGAGACCAACTTCCTGCCTCCATTTGCAGTGGATGGAGTCAGGAGGGAAGGGCCTGGGTGACTGGTTCCGGTAACAGCTTCATCAAGGAAGGAGTGGGTGTCCAGGCCGGCCTCGGCCCCTGCAGGAAATTGATCTGGGAGACGTTACGTGCTCCTTTTAAACCGAGGGCCTTTGATTTATGAGTCTAAGATTCTTCGTCTCAGACTCAGTGTCCCTTTTGACTCCCTGC